TCCTTAAAATGCAGGTCTAGAGGTGGCATACATTCTGTGAATCACTAATAACAATATTGACACTTAGAGTTCGCCTATCGATAGTTGATAAACCAAGTTGGGGAGGGTGATATTTTGATGGGTTAATCGAATTCTAGCTCTGTTTCTGTTCGACAAACGGGAACTAGGAATTTCGGTGTCTTCTGTTCACCGTGACTGCAAGAAATGCGCGCGTGAATTTTCAAACGGGTTTTTTTATCACGCCGCTGGATGAATTTTAAAGCATGAGGCGATTCAGTGTATTTAAGTCGTTGGTAGTCAGGGTTTTAATCGCTTATCGTTACTCGGTAACCCAATCGACTGGCGCCTTTAATCGGTTAACCTCAACAGAAAGAATGTCATTGTTGAGTCTCGTGACAATAGGCAATCCAGTTTCGTGTACCACAGAAATTTCCATTACGATCCACTCTTCTCGAACTATCACGAATCTCGCAGCAGTGTCCTTTCTCTGTTCCGAAACCTAGACAACAAGAAAAGACGAACTCTCAGCTGCACTTATTTCACTCAATCACAAGACAGCTCGTTTACTTGCACAAGAGGGGTGTACTGTGACGAGTAGTCTCGTGTGTACATTGGAATTGGCGGAGGATTTGTTAATCGAGAAGCTTGAAATTCTAAAAGAAACCACTGTATTACGGATCTGACGCTTGTCTACTGTAACCTGTGAACAGTGGTCAAACTGCGTAAATCATGCGCCCACATACTCCTCGTTCTTTAACCAGTGCATAGCTTCTTGCATAGTAGGACTGATACCTAATCGAAGAGATTGGGGTACGATTTTCCGTTTCACATTTTGGTCTCATGAGTGCCAGCACAAGGGGACGGAAGGTTAAACTCCTATTCACGAAAACCGACATCGTATACCGTGGGTATTCATCTAATGAAGTACATAAGGTCCCTAAGAGTTGGGTGTTACTCTAACTCACCGGGTCGGAGTCTCCTGTGACTCTGGGACCTGGAGCTGTGAATCGAACCGTGAGAACACTACCAATTATAGACTGCTGTAGTTTCATTTCTAGAGTAAACCCTATGGTCACATACACGGCTAATTTACTGTAGACATCTTTCATTATGTTTTGATTGTGTGAATTTGGTCTACACCGCACGACCAGCAAATGCCACGTCCCTGAAATACCGCTGGGCTGTTCATGTAAAAGAAACTTCAGCGGTCGTACAAACAAGTGCCTAGCTGTACGGGGTTTAGGAACACTATCTGGCGGATTCGTCGTTCAAGCTATATGTATTATAACAGCCACCGTTTCACACGTTTTCTAATCTGGTCACACAGTGATGATGAATGATACATTTCGTCTTGTCTACCGTATTCGAGGTAATCGATCAAGTATATTGTCCTGATCACTGCCCGTCAGTGTGAAAACGTCTTATGGGCCTCGCAACACGTTGCGAAGACAATCAGTCTTTCATGAATCACACTCAACAAACCATCGTGCACCGCACGTTTACTTGTTCTCAGTAGTCTCCTGGAATTTTTTCAGGCGTGAGAATAAANGAGAATAAAACAAGTCGTCCGTCCGTCCGTCTCTCTCTCTCTCTCTCTCCGTCTGTGTCTATCCTCAATAGCACTTGTGTTTGTAGCAGTCACTGACGTTTCTGCTATTCGCATCGGGGCGCTCAGTCTACTAGATGTATTTTTCGGTTGTTTGCCCGCGTTTATGGCGTGTGCGGTAGTGCTCAAGGTCAAAGTCAAAGTTTTCTTATGGACCTTACTTATAAGCAGATGCTTTCCTTGTCCCATAGGGTGTTGCCACGAGTTGAATTGTAACAATGATAAACAAAATTCCATATGATGTATGCGGTTGTGTTATGCGTGCTTATGGATGTTGGAATGCAATGTGTGTTAATGATTCGTCAAGTTTAACCTTGAAGGAATCAATCGTCGTGGTACAAACGACATGAAATGGTAAGGAATTCCAAACAGAGCACATTCTGACGGTGAAGGAATGACGTTGACAGTCCAGTCGTAGATGAACGTTTGATGTCATCGTCAAAACTGGGCGGCAGAAGTGATTTGCGTTGTAATATTTGTTACATTAAAATGAAGTCTCCTCGAATCCGACGATACTAAGCAGAGTATAAACCCAATGGCTGCAGTCTCCCCATGTATGAATCATAATAAAGTCCTTTGACCATCTTCGTGGCGAGTCTTTGTGGACGCTCCAAAATCTTATGATCACTTTGTAACCATGGCTTCCAAGTTTGGATGGCATACTCAATGTGCGGCCGGATGTATGCTGACAGCAGACGTGAGAATAAAGATGGTTTAAAACGACCGAAAACACGTTTAAGTAGACCGACATGTTTCAATGTTGTTGTCGACGCCATGGCACAGTTAATAGAACAGCTCGTATAGACCCAGCCACATACTCCCGACTATGTTTGTCGTCTACACGTATGTACCTAACCTGTCAGCAAAAAGATGATGATAATACAAATACTATATACTTCTGCTTCCTGCCGCATCGAATCCGCGTTCCGCGTGAAACCGTTTCCCTCTGATGAGCATGTTTTCAGATAACTATAACGTTCAAACTTGCGGCTCAATTGAGGTATGTGGCTGATTGGCACATTCACGTTGCGGTTCGTTTTGCAATTTTTTGATCATCTGAGATCAGAGTGCCTTAGAGACATTGGTGGCAAACGTTCGGTGTAAGTTGGATTACAAGCGAGATACAGGATTCGAATTATCTGTCGTTTTCACCAATTTGTTTTTAATTGGACTTGGAAGTTCAAATCGTGGCTATGTAGCTGCAGTGCATCGACCTGACAGATTCTTTTGATAGGGTTCGAATCCCACAGGTTTCAATAATTCTTGCTGTTCCAACTTCAGTATTTCTGTGATATACCGCCAAATTCTTTATCAACATATACATGTTTATCGTCTGCAAATAAGGTTTTAAAACTCGTACAGGTCTCTCCAAAACAGCCTCAATACGACTGGCACGGCTCTTGCATTGTTTGTGTATGTGTAGTTGTGGGCACACTAGAGAATGACAGAGGCGTGCATTTCTCAGTACTGTTGACTACATTCATTTTCTCGTCCTCTGTAGATCCCCTCATTTTGGCTTCAATACGGCAACATATGGATTTGAACAATTTGGCCCAACTAGTCACGTGAGTAAATCATTTTGGTTGTCTTGGGGATGAGAGTTAGAGAAGGGTGTGAGACAGGAAGGATGGATGGGTTCTATTTTCAGTGATCGGGTGCATTTTGTTGCTCATGAGAAGCCCATTTGATATACACAGGATATATTTGGGGTCCTTTTATGCGGCCGTTTTGTAACGGTTTTTATTATCATCATTTGGAGCTAACTGCATTAGGGGCTAGTTGACCCAAAGTTTGCGTTTCATCTACGCAAGTGCTTGACACCATCGGCTTCCGATATCAACTGGTTCAGAGAGAGCACATAATCTGTAAGTTTTGCGTTTCATTGCTGTTTCGCCCCAGTCTCTTCATTTGGGTACCGTTGTTTGCAAGTCATTGGGAAAATTTAGATGGTGAATGTTTGGATTAGCCCATTCGGTTTTTCATAGGCACCAGGCACTGTTGATGCTGTTCGTTGTGGGTTTCACTCCTTGGGAGTGCTGTCCAGTGCTCTTTGTTGGTTATCGCAAACACTTCCATCGCACTAAAATGCAAACACACAGTGGGGAATTAACGATCTCTCAATGAGTGAAACCCACATCGAACATCATCAACAGTGCCTGGTGCCTATNCCTATGAAAAACCGAATGGGCTAATCCAAACATTCACCATCTAAATTGATTGAGCCATTCGCACAAGGTGTTAACTGTCGACCGTGTAGCCCAAGGGTAATGGTTTGAAGTCCCAGCCCGAAGAATCGCGGTTCGAGTCCTGACAGGGACAAAAAACGTACGCACTGCTGACGAGTCCCAAACAGGATGAAACAGCTGTCCAGTGCTGTTTGTTGGTTATCACAACCATTTCCATCGCACTCATTCAGAAAATGTTCCAATAAACTTCTGGGTTCCTGCCGTTTATTATATTATGTTTTCATACACGTCTGAATCCAGAGCGTGTGCCAAACAAATCATGGTACAATAATCTTCATGCGAAAGAAAAACGTTCCATGATTTGCATGTGTGCTGAATACTGTCAGGTTGCCCAGGCCAAGACAGGTGAATTTTCTATAGGAATTCACAACCGGACCCTTTCGCTAGTCAAAGCCTGACCCTGAAGGCAGTGGGGCGGTGTGTGAAACCGCAATCCATTGGGGACCGGTGTCCAGTCCATCGGATCATTTTCCCTTTGGACGGGGTCAAATGTCAAAGATGCCCAATACACATCGATGACTAATGAAACCGGTGACCATTGCCACAACGACGAAGTTGTGTGTGGTTTGTACGCCTCCGCTTGGTTGGTTTGGAATCAATGTTTTGTCCAACTCCCCCAAGTGAACTACCAGTGGTCCACCTTCCCGGATATTGCCCCGGATGTCGGCTTTTCGTCCTCTCACTTTGGTGGGAAAACACCTCCTCCACGAGAAGGCAATGAGTAGGGTTTCTTCAGCAGAGGCTGTCTGAGACGCTTGGTCGTATGGGAGCATTTCACGAGGTGCAATGGAGGGCTGACCAGCCGCAACCTTTGACACCCACCCTGGATCATACTACCGTGTGAGGAACAGATCGATAGCTGAGCAAAATCGTTTCTTGGCGCATGTTTGGTCAATGTTGTTCGGCGAGAAGCTCTTCTGTTATCCGAAAAACGTCAGATCGCAACTCAAAACCCTGATTGCACGTGCAATTATTTTATCAAATCTCAAATGATCTGTGATGCTTTAGACAAGACTATTCAAGTCTGTCAGACACTTTGAATTTATTCCACCCAAGGGTGTATATTCAGCTACTACTACTACTACACGCTGCTAAAGCCACCTGTATAGACAATCAAAGCTGCACCAATATCTTTAGTCAGGCCAGTGATGGATTCACGACTCATGGGCCCGGTGTTACAACAACACATTCGACGCGTTATTGGCACCCTCGGGGATTGGTATGCAGCAGGCTGTTCTTACCTACATCCATGCCTATAAGGAGCATGCGTAAGCGGACAATGCTACGTATTTGATTAAGTTATCGTATACAGAATATGCGTTATCAGATAAGGTTCTACTCTTAAACCCTTTGAATAAATTGATGTGTTGATAGGCAACTGTGTGCATGAAGCGAATGATGGACAAAGCCACTACAGAAAGGATGGGGAAAATAGTTTGAAATCTGTTAGGATGTCGCGCACAGAACCCGTCAGTCCGCATATCGATCCGCGTCACACCAAAAGTGCGTTGGTGACGCCCAAAGCCAAATGGATTCCAGATTGGATGACTAGGACGAGTCAGGCAGCTGTCATCCGATTGACCGGTGTCACGGACGTGATCTGATTTGTGCATCAAACACGTCGTTTTCTTGTACGCCATAGTTTACCACCTATTTGCGTATAGCGTCCTGATCAATAATACACTCTGACTGTCATTTTCTCTGCCGTGTACTCTCTCCGTTGTTGCGGCTAGTCAAGAGGCGCCCTTATCGATCGATCATACGTCTTGACATAGATATAACAAAATCTTTATCGAATACACTACGAAAGTAAAAACGTGAACCGTGAGACCGATGAATTAATACCTGCAGGCATGCGCAAATCTTTTAACTGAACACCGCGGTACGGATGGAAAATTCAAGTGAAGGACACCAAAATACATATGTGGATTCCCTTAACGTTCGTGAAAATTCGAGAGACAGAGATCTAACCATGCGTGATTTCATTTTCAAACTGAAACCAAGTATTCAAAGAGAGGTCACGCAATAATAACTGGCCAGTTTTCATTGAAAAGTTACTTTATAGAGGAAGACAAAGATGAACCAAGCTTTCCGAAAACTTCATCGCCGGCGCATTTCCATCGTTAAAATGATGGAAAATAGAAAGAAATGGGAATAAGCAAATGGAACATGGAAACGCGTACAGTAGAATTCTAGTTGAAGCAGTTAAAAATGTAAAGAATGTTTCTAAATAGCTAATACAATGTTGACCAATGAGTTAGTCCGTTAGTTGGTGGATGATGAAAGATGTGACAGTCGAATCGACAAGAACAGACGGAAGTTCATCGGTCTCTTGCTTTGATCACGAGTGTTTTCAGGGTTGATGTTTGCGTGCAGCCAGGTGGTTTCTTTGATAAAAACTAATACAGGTCCTATTTGGCTCTCTCCTGTTTTCAAATTTCAGCTATGACGGTCCTATTCGAGTCATACGGCGTGCAGATGATGAAATTATTAGCACCAGGTAAATCTTGATTTTCTCTCACATCCTCTCCATCACAGCGTGCTAATGGACAATGAAGTTCAGCAACTTAAGATGGGGTAGGCTCAGTACCACAACTATGCTGGTGGTGATTCGCCAGTCCGGGGACTCTTACACCGAAGCCATCAAGGCATAAGCTTGCTGGCCAAGCAATAGCTTTGCAGCTTTAGATTAAAAGCAGTGTCTGTAATATTGATGTTTAACCAGCCCAGGCGTAATAATCGACGGTCGTCAAACAGTGAGCATCATCAACACACCGTTCCAGATTTAGGATGCCAATAGCCACTAGGAGTTGGCAAGCTGCAAGCATGTTTCACCTCTTTTATCCCCGTTACTTGTGGCTCCTAGAGGCTAAAAATACCATCAGTGGTCGCACTTTGGTAAATATGTTGACAAGTGATTTACAATCCTCAGCGAAACGATGCATAACATGTGAAAAATTTGGCCGTTTTGCGAGCGGACAATATATACCATCTGATTCAATGGATACAAGGAAACCGTCCAAACTGACAGATATGCATCAATGCCTGGATAGCATGCACATCTATCGAATGATGAATATGCTACTTGGAAGCTACCAGCAATTAAACGCTGACATAC